CGCTGATTTTGTTCCGTGTTTTGTGTGCGTGTATTTTAAACGGGCGGCAAGCTGGAGAACTCCCTGCTGTTGAAGCTGCTCAATCTACTCGCGAGGCACTCGACTTCTGACTCCAATTTTGTCAAAGTTGAATTCGAGCGCAGTATCATGGATTTAATACATGAGCCAAGGTGAAACCAACCTCACAAAATTATTAGTTTAACTTGAAAATTCTTCTGATCTCTCTTTCGCTGTCTCCTTTCATCTCTTTCTTCAACTGACGGAAGCCTATCACTCCATTAGATTTCTCCGTTTACCCTCTTATCTTCTGCTTCGCCTCTGATTTTACAAGAGCCTTGGATAACCCTATAACTCAGTTACTTCTTCAGACTCAATGAATGTCATAAAACACGAGTTACATAAAATTGTAATCCATTATGTATCTCATATACCTTTCCAAGACCCGTCTCTCCCAGTTCCTCGGTACCTTACTTATTCTCCCACAAAATAATGGAATACAGTTTTTATACAACCAAAACAAAATGGTTTCCAAGCTCTATATATCTTGAAGAAAATTGTCATTCGACAAAAAACATGTACAGAAGTTATCTACTAATTTTAACAAAACATATTTATTATATCTAATCATCTTTTTTTATGCATTTTTTACAGATTGCCGGTGAACGAATGTCAGGCAAGCCAAACAGCTAGAGTCACCTCGAACCTGCACGCATCCAGTAGCACGATGGCGGTCAGCCGTGTACCCTCGCCGCCCTTGCCGGAAGTTAATACGCCAGTTGCCGAGAACTGGTGTTATACGCAGGTAAATTCAACTCCCAGTCCCTAACCTCATCCTCATCCTCAGCCTCCCTCCCTTTCTGATGATAATCCCACAGAAGGGATTACATTTCCTTCCCTATGCACACAAATGTCCGTCTGAGCATTCCACTTCGTGTGGATTTTTGCATTCCTATGGATTTGCCGATCGAATTTCACAATTTTTCGTGTAAACCGAATACATTTTGTTGTAAGGCGGTAAATGCATTTCCGTTTGGGATACAGGTGTGTGGATTGATGTTGTCGGGTGAATCCATTGAAGTTGGGGGAAGAAATTGGAGATGGTCTCCCAGGAAGGGAAGATTAAACTGAAAGTTGTACTAACACTAGCTCCATCCTCTTCTTATATTTCCAGGTTAAAGTGGTTAAATTTAGTTATATGTGGACCATAAATAACTTTAGTTTTTGTCGGGAAGAGATGGGTGAGGTACTCAAATCGTCCACATTCTCAGCCGGTGCTAATGACAAACTGAAATGGTAAGCAGATTAAACATTTTAAATATATTCAGACAGATATCTAAAATTTCTGTGTCTCTTCCAGGTGTTTACGGGTTAATCCAAAGGGTCTCGATGAGGAGAGCAAGGATTACTTATCGTTATATTTACTATTAGTTTCGTGTAATAAATCAGAAGTCAGAGCCAAGTTCAAATTTTCCATTCTGAATGCGAAACGTGAGGAGACCAAAGCCATGGAATCCCAAAGGTAAATCCATCAATCTTCATCATCCCCGAGGATCTTTACTAATCAATCAATCCCATTTTGGTTTACCTTTGTAGAGCTTACCGTTTTGTGCAGGGCAAAGATTGGGGCTTCAAGAAATTCATTAGACGCGACTTCCTGCTGGACGAGGCCAACGGCCTGCTGCCGGAGGACAAGCTAACGATCTTCTGTGAGGTTAGCGTAGTCGCTGACAGTGTTAACATCTCCGGACAATCCAATATTGTGCAGTTCAAAGTGCCCGAGTGCAAGCTCTCCGAGGATCTTGGCAATCTCTTTGACAATGAGAAATTCAGCGATGTGACGCTCTCAGTGGGCGGTCGAGAGTTTCAGGCGCACAAAGCCATACTGGCAGGTAAGCACAAATCATCCTTAAACCGATCATTTGAATCATCTTAACAAAAATATTTTAATTTTAATATTTCTAGCGCGCAGCGATGTCTTTGCGGCCATGTTTGAGCATGAAATGGAGGAGCGTAAGTTGAATCGTGTCGCCATAACCGATGTGGATCATGAGGTTCTTAAAGAAATGCTGCGATTCATATACACGGGCAAGGCGCCCAATTTAGAAAAAATGGCTGATGATCTCCTAGCGGCTGCTGATAAGGTAAGAGAATCCTCAAAATTGCCGCTTTTAAGATTGTGTGTTTAATCGGAACTTTCTATTTTGATTACAGTATGCACTCGAAAAGCTGAAAGTGATGTGCGAGGAGGCGCTGTGCGTCAATCTCTCTGTTGAAACAGCAGCCGAAACATTAATATTAGCTGATCTCCATAGTGCGGATCAATTGAAAGCACAAACGATAGATTTCATAAATACGTAAGTGTTTTAGCAATAGTTTTCCCTTTGGTTATGCTTTACTTACCTTTTACCTCTTTCGTACAGTCATGCCACCGATGTGATGGAAACCTCTGGATGGCAAAATATGATCACAACACATTCACATTTGATAGCGGAGGCATTTCGTGCACTCGCAACACAACAAATCCCACCAATTGGACCACCAAGGAAACGCGTGAAAATGAGCTGAAACCACACTTCAACAACAACAACTACAACTACAACAACAACAAAAACCCCTAAAGAAACACCAACAACACCAATAACAACCTACAAAAATCAAAGCAATATACTATTTGAAATTTACCATAAATGCAATCATTTGTTCGATCGTTTGGCAGCTAACCTCAAGAGAACAACATGCCGCAGAACAACAGCAACATATACAACAATTACACCAACAACAATCAATTATTTCAACAACAAAAACAACAGGCAGAATAATATTATGAAAATGGAAATGGAGTTAGAGTTAGAGTTGAAGAAAGATGAAAGAAAGATGGCAATGAGCAGGAGCAGGAGCGGGCAGTACCGTATATTGTTTCGATTTTTGAGTAATTTAATTCATTTTTTAACATAATAAACTTGATTTTAAATGTATTTTTATTTTAATTTTGTTGATTTATGATTATGATCTTATGCTTAAAATGTTTACGAGTAATAATTATCCATTAATTGTACGTTTAAGTCCAACAAACAAATGAAACAAACAACAAAAATTACTAAGTAAAATAAAGAAAAAGAGAGCAGAAACACGAACAGAAAGTTGAAAATATAATAAAACCTATAATATAAAATAAAGTAAAAGAGTAAGAGGAGCGATAACAAAAATCCATCAAAAATGAAATAATAAAAAAAAAAACGTAAAAGCAAACAGAAAATGCAATGAGAGAAAAACGCAACTATTATTATTATTCTAATTGTAACGAATTATGATTACCGATTACAAAGCGTACACTTTGATTGTGATGTATATTCGATGCGAGAGAGAGAGTATGAATATGAATATGAATATGATTATGACAAGGATGAGGATGAGTATGACTAATGTTGAGTGACGAATAACGAATAACATGTAATGATGAGTATGTAATTGAGTAATGCATAATGATACGGATATGATAATGAAGTTGATTTATACTATATTGTGTGTATATGTAACTCGGAAACAATTTTCTCCATTCATTCAAGGTTTTATTTCACCTCTTATTGTATCCCCACTCTCCTGCTTTGGTGGAAGAGTGTGGACTCTTGGCAAGTCATGGTATTCCTACTATTAGATGCCAGATCAGGCAGTGAGCGTTTACCATGTGAAAATGTCTATCAAAAGAGCTGCTCTTTTCCTCATTGCAATACAAAATATCATGCCCCTAATGCTACCACCGCTGTAACACCCTTTTACACCCCACCAACATTCTCTGTTCGGATCCCTGGAAGAAACCAGAACCATGTTCACACTTTCTTTGCATGTTTTTCCTCTTTTTATAAATCTTTGTTTGAAGTAATTTAAACAGAGCCACTTTTATCTTTTCGTTTAAGCGCAAATGTAATTAATTTGTTGTACAAAACTCTTAATACAAAAAAAAAACAAAAAACTATCATAAAATAAAAGCGAAACGTAGCAATTTGTGTATAGTAAGCAGATAAAAACCACAAACAAAAAAATAAAATCGCATCAATTCATTCATTTTGTGGCATTCCCAGGGAATGTGATTTGGGATTGAGGTGGAGGAAGGCAACAATAGCTCCTCCCCTTAGTAACTCTTTACCAAGAACAAGACCGAACGAATAAAGTGACAGACAGTAAAGTAAACGTGATAACAACTTATCTAAACTAAAGTAAACTTTAAAATAATTGAGACATTTTTATATGCTAACATGAAAATCGTAAGAACACAAGAGAACTCCTGGGTTCCTGGGAGTGTGTCAAATTCAGGTATTCAGGAAAGAACAACAACAACAACAAGAACAAATAATAATGATAGTGAAAAATGCAAATGCAAATGCTTTCCATTCAATATCGTACTTCCGTTGCATTACCCGAAAATGTATATAGAAAAAAAACTCCTAGCCTTAGTCGTCGCATCAATTCCATTTTGTTTCGACTGCACAAGAATGCTTTAAATCCGTGTATGTGCCGTGTGAGTGTATAATATTAGCTAAAGAATAGGAATTCCTGAAAGTGCATCTATATGTTTGCTTTGTCTTATGTTTCACTTTGTCGCAAGCTCGATTGAGAGTGTTGGCCATGGCAGGCAACAATTTGTACCCACACTGAAAAACATTTCAATGCTTTGAGGAAATTCAGGTACGGGGTACGGAAACAGCGGGTAGATCTGTTTGGAAATACAAAATCAAAACTTATGATCTTAAATATATAGAATACACCGTATTTAGCAATGCAACAAAAAAAAACAAAAAGAAAAAGCGGACACCAAGAGAATCAGATACAACTTTTATGCATGCGCCAATCTAAATGTGTAGGAAACCCGAGTGAGAGGGGAGGAGCTCATCGTAAATCTAATTGAAATCTACCATAAAGTAAAGTAAAGTAACTTCGAAATGGGCAATACAAGTGAAAGCAACACACGACATTTTTAAAAAGCAAAATTGTAATTGTATTTAACAATATTAGATAATAAATTAATATGTTCTAAAATGATGCGATGGCCTATTCCTACTTCTTCTCCTGCTCATCGAGGAACTGTTGCAGCAGGGCTCCATCGATGGGAATGTTTAGCTGCTCGGAGCCATCCACGCTGCGCTTCGACTTGACCAACTTGTGGTCCAGGAACTCGGTAAGCTGTGCGCGCAATGCCAGATCCGAGCTAACCAAGAAGGACTCGCGACAACTTGAGTACAGATCCTTGAAGGGCATACCCTGGTACTGGGCATTGCCCTTGTTCTTCAGCTGGTACTTGACAATCAGCATGTAAATGCCGCGCGAGTTGGTCGTCAGCGAGCAGAAGACACTGCGCATCGAGGACAGAGCCAGCTCGCCAGAGTTCTGCACCAGCAGGGAGTTCTCGAAGGCCGTCTCGTCCGTGTAGGGCAACATGGTGGTGCAGTCCCACCACGAGAAATTAAAGTTGCTCAGCTTCCCCTGGTCCCACACTGCAGAATGAAAGGGAAACTATTAGAAGACAGCTGTTAGGGAGCAGGAAGTGCTTGTGTACTCACACAGTGGTGTGTTGATGTGGTCTATGGAAGCCAACATATGGATGTTGGGCACACGCGCCAGGCGTGACAATATGGCCTGAGCCTTCACATTCCGTAACATGGCACCGTCCAGGTTGTGCACGATCAGAAAGAGATGCGTCTCTGGTATCAGGGCGAACTCCTCCTCTATCATGTCTACAGCTTCGTGTGGATTTGTCGGGCTGATGCCGGCGTCCAGAATTTCACTGGTGATGCTGTCCAACATGTCCTTGATCGTGAGACTGGGAAAGAAGCCGTTCACAACCAGCACCGTCTGGCGGGCAAGTACCTCGTGGTGAAACGACTGCAGCAGCTGGCGCTTGGAGCCGAGCCCGTAGAGCAGAATATTGAATCCCTCGTTTAGAATGCACATCCATTTGGGAAAGTACGAGCGATACTCCTCCATGATGGCATTGATGGCAGTCTCGTGCTCTGCCGACACTTTCATTTCGGAGAGCAGGCTGAACAGACGATCGGCGGCCAGGCGAGGATTCTTCAGCCGATCCAGAGTGTGGTCTGAGGTGAGAATCTTGCTGCTGGCATGCGAATGGAAGTAGCCTTCGCTCTCTGGCACAAACTCATTCGATTTTTTGGCCCGCGCCGACTGGCGGAGGCGAGCCGCTGAAGGAGTCTTGGGCAGAACGGGCACCACGATGGCGCGGCGTGTCTTGCAGGGTGTCTTGGGCTCATCGTCGGCGGCATCGTTGTCCGAGGAGTGGCCGTCGCTGCTGCTGCTACTGCTGCTAGACGACGACTCTTCGCCACTGGGCCGATAGTCGCTCTCGTCTCCAGAGAAATCCTCATCGGAGTCGGCCACAATCTTGGCAATCTCTGAAAGAGAATCGTTTTAAGTGAGTGTCAACAGGTTGGATCAGGCGAGTACTCACGATTCTTGACACGGCTGCGCACATGGGACGGCGTCTTTGTCTGCTCTGTGGGCTTTTTTCGCTTGGTGTCGGGCGTCTTGACGCCCAAGCAAGGCGTCTTTGGCGTCTTGGGTGTGGCACTGAGTGCCGCCAGAGCCATGGCATCCCGCTTCTTGGGCGTGTTGAACCCAAACAGACTGGCACCGGCCACATTGTACTCTGACTGGATGAGGTTCAGGTCCGGCCTGATGGGCCTCTCATCGATTTCCGCCACACCCTCGCCAACCTCCTCCACCTCTTCCCCGTTGCTCTCCTCCTCGCTACACTCCACATAGTTGACAACAATGTGCTCGTGCTCGTGGTCCTGCCGCCGGCCCTTGGTCTTTTCCTGATATGCCTGATACTTTTTGGTGGGACTGGGCTTTCGTGCGGAGCGTCGAGTGCCTGGCTGTGATCGCTCCTCTTCGGATCCCCCTGCATCAGCCAGATCGATCAGCGCCGTGTCCATGTCCACGACAGATTCATCATCCGAGATGTTTATGGTCTCCGCGGATTTCGGATTTCTCGATTTCTTTTGCTTCTTGGGTGTTCTGTACTCGCCATGATTAGTGGCGCTCATTGTAAAATTATAACAAACTTCTACAATATCAAAACGAAATTGTGAATTCTTGATCAAAATAAAAACAGCGCAGAAGAAGCGGGAAACCATCGATGACAACATCGATAGTATCGATTTGGAGCAGTGCCCGTCACAATTTCATCCCTGTGTAGTTGTCATGTAGCGAAATTCTTCAGATTGTGTTATTTAATTTCTCTATATTTTGTATTGAGAATATTGTAAATCTCGGCATCGTTTAAAATGTAAATATTTATTTCAAACAATTATATACCTAAAAATGTCAGAGCGTGTTGCATGATCATTTTGTGTGTGTTAGTATTGGCCGCTGGCGCCACGCATTAACCGTTAGGTCCGCCATGTTGATTTTGCATTCCCTTTCGCCTTCTTTCATTCCTATGTACACACATATTAAATTTTTTTTGCGTAGCGTGGCTCTGGAATTTTTCGTTTAGTGATTTGTAATTGTAACAATGAGTGCCGTTGCTGCTGATAAGTTTTGTGCAGTCTGCGGCGACTCCGCTGCATTGATGTGCGAGCGTTGCATGGAGCCGTATTGCAACAGAAATTGTCAAGCCGCGGATTGGCGCCGCCACAAATACTCGTGCATCCCAATGCCGTAAGTGGAGTTGCAGAATTTATTGTTTTCCACACTTTCATGTGCGTTCCTCTTTCAGTGTGTTGGTGCCAAATATAAATGCGCAGTGCTTAGAGGAGCAGCAAGTTTCTGCGAAACCACTGGTTTCCAAGCCAAATCATGGGGCTATTCCCAAATCGAATCCGAAGCCGATCAATAAGGAAGTGAATACCGTCGACCCGGTATCTGCATCGAGTCCAGTCAAGAGCGTTGGAACACCAACAGGTGTGAGCCCTGAGCAACTGTCTTCTGTCTGGCGTGAGACATTTTTGCCGCCGCTAAACGATTTCTCCGAGTGCCGCGTGACGCACATGAAATCAGATGGCGTCATCTGGGTAGTGGATGTGTCCAATGTTGAGCTCATGGAGCAATTCAACGAGGGCATGCAGCGTGTCAAGTCAATGCTTCAGCTAGCCAAATGTGTCAAGGAGGACTCGCTGGTTGTGGTTCAAGGCGAAAAAAACATCCAACGTGGACATGTGATCTCTGTGGACTCGCAGTCGAAGACTGCAATGATCCGTCTGATCGATCATGGGTCTGTGGTCGATTTACCTTTGCTGGAAGTCTACGATCCGCTGCCGCGCATGGCAGATATCAAAGCATTTGCGATCCAGGTGAAGCTGCTGTCGAACACGGGCGTGCAGAGCAACAATCATCTGACGTTGCGCTTCCTGGGCCCCAAAACACAGGAGGGCTTCTATCCGGTTCAGCTGAAGCCCAAGATGACAATTCCGCTAAATTTTCCGATTAAGATGCTGCAGATGAACTCGGAAGTGACTGTGGTCACGATCCTTGAAGGTTGTCTGCATCGCGATGAGCAGCCAATTGCCCTGCTCCAAATATCTACGATTGTGCAGATTAACGCCGCCATGAGTGAGAAACTGGACGGAAAGCCAAGCCAGCAGCAGCCGATCTCTGTCCCTCTGCCATTAGATACGTGCACAACCGTATTCTTGGCCACTCGCACCAACCAGGGCTACCGACGCGCTTTTCTGCTGGACGTAATCGATGCTCCGCCCACGCGCACTTATCTGGTGTATGAGATGGATGAGGGTCGCATCTCCATCACCACGGACGTGCGTCGCATTCCCAGCGAGCTGCTCGGTCATCCCATTCAGACATTTGCCATGAAGCTGAACAACGAAGGGCAACAGGTGCCGCTGAAGGAACTGCTGGAGAGCTGTGGTCCCGATTTAACAGTCAAACTTCGTTTGGAGAGCATTCAAGGGCAGGAAAAGGTGCGCAGGGTTGGTGCCGCCTTGCTGTCCAAAGGCAAGCAGATGGCCGAAGTGGAGCTGAATACGTTCATGGGAGAGGTGTCCACCATGGGCCACAAGTACTGGCGTGAGGCGATAGAGAACGGCACGTTGGTTCGCATAACTCACATTGTCGACTACAAGGAATTCTTCATCAGCTCCATTGAGACCATGTTTTATGCAAACCTTTTCAAGCGCATGGAGAAGAAGTGCAGACCCTTCGGTCCCTCGGATCAGATTCTGATTGGCAGCATTGTTCTAGTGGCAAGCCCCAAGCTGGGACACTTCCGTGGCACGGTAAGCATATTGACATGACCCCAACTCGCACAAATTACATGAAAAATACATTATAAACCCATCTTTACAGATCTGTGGTATTGAAAACGACTTATTTAGTGTCCACAACATTGACACTGGCGCAACGTACCTGGTGGAGAGACAGTTCCTGCGCATGTCTTGTCGCTTCCTGGAAAACATGCCCGTGAGCCTGTCGCGCGTCCAACTAAAGTCAGTGTGCGATATTCCTGAATGTGCAGTGATCCCAAAAAATGCAGGCTGTGAACTGATGAAGGAGCTCTTGGCTGAGAACGTCGAATTTCGTGTCGAATTCGTTGGGTCAAGCACTCAATTGGTGGACTTGCATTTTGGATCGGGCGAGGCGACTTCGCTGGCCCTACGAATTCTGCCGCTGATGTTTACGCCCGTTTCGTTTACAACGCAGGAAGTAGCTGCTGCTAAACCAGCTGCAGTGGCAGTTCCTGCTTCAGTGGCAGCTCCTGCACCAGCGAAAGTTTCTGCTCCTGCAAAAGTTCCTGCTCCGGCAGTTGTACCAAAAGAACTCACGGTCAAGACGCGTCCAGCTGCTTCAGAGATGTCAAATGAACTTATTCCACCCTTGCCGCTGTCGCCCCCAGCTTCCCCCATTATCGAGACTAAAGAGCCCCAACAACAATTCCAACGACACTTTTACAAGGATGTGCCCAAAATTCTTATTCCACTGGGCGAACGGATCGACGCGTTCCTGCTGAATGCATCGGAATTATCCAAAAGTGGTTATATCACCGCCTGTCACTTTAAAAACGATGACGAGTCGATGTACCTTCAGGATTTGTTTAGTTTAATTAATAGCGAAGGCAAGTCGTCGCACCCAAACATTAAAAGCTATATCCCATGGTAGGTCCCAGGCTAGTCCATAAAGCCAACATGTAATCCAATTTTCCATCCAATCTTCTTGCACAGTGTTGGAGAAATGTGCCTGTCCATGTTCAGCGAGGACAATAGCTGGTATCGTGCCGTCTGCGAGGAGATAATCGGCGATAAGGCTCGAGTTTTATACTGTGACTTTGGCAACTGGGAGATCGTTTCCTTTAAAAACCTTAAGCCCATCAGCTCTCGTCTTGTGCAGGCCATCATTGCCACCAAATGTTACGTAGAGGGTACGTAATCGGGTATTACACGATTAACCTTCATTGCTAACTCTATTCTGTTGCTTTCAGGTTACGAAAAGTCGCAGAAATTCAGTCAATGGGAGGAGCATATTAAGACGAACTTGCACGTTTTGTGTCGTGTCAAGGAGGGCCCCGACTCTAATTCGCGTACCATTACCATCCCCGATCTAGAGAAACTTGTGACACAAAAAACTTAACTCATTGTCGAGTTTTACATTAAGACAACAAGAATCGCGTTCCTTCATTATAATCTCCTAGTAATAAGAGTATTTCCGTACACCCAAAGTGTACGGATCGAGTTTTTTTTGGAAAACATTCGTTTATTTTGTTTTGTTTCTCGACTTGGCAGGTCCTGCGTAGACGATCGTTTAAGAACATACATAAATAAATAAATATTTCGATATAGTATAAATACATATTCACTGGTAAACATTCCACAACATTTATCTCTCAACTATTGGAGATTCAATTACAACACTTATAATGGGAGATTACAACTGCATCCGACAGCATTCATTGTTCGGCCAGCTTGGCGAGGAGCACCTCCATCGCATCAACGTTGCGTACGGCGATGATGCCAGTAGCATTTCGCTTCCAATCGGATTCAGAGTTCTGCATCAGGTACTTGAGGGCCACTGGCTTCTGCTCCGACACGCTCGCACCAAAGTCGAAGACATCACCGCCCAGAGCGCGTAGAATCGCCTGCGGTGCACAGGTATCCCACTTGAACGTGGATCCCTTACTGAGAAGATACACTTCCACCTCACGGGTGATGACTTTCAGGGCCTTGTGCCCGGCCCCTGCGGAGAATGCAAACTCATAGCCCAGATCGAGTAATCGCTGAAGTATGTCCGACTGCTCAGAGCTGGAAAAGATGGCAAGCTGACGGTGCTCGTCTCGCGCCTCAAAGTGACAGTTGTGGGCCTGCAGACTCGGCAGGCAGATGCCCCAAAACATCGACGAGCTGTACACGTGCTCCTCCAGCTTTTTGCCAAAGGGCTGGGCAACGACTCCCATCACGGGAATGCCCGTGTCACGTTCATAGACGCCAATCAAAACGGTTACACAGTCCAGGCCGGTGGAGGTGATGCCGGGAAAGTTGGTGAACATCGTATCGCCCGAGATGTACTCTGCAGTGGCGTCTGCAAAAAACAAATCATTAACAACTGCCATGGGCTTACATGTCCATCTACTCACGTACCAATTGGATCAATCCATATGCCCAGATTGGCATAGTCTAGCTCCTCGGGAAGCTCTGGAATCTCGCCCAGCGTGTTGCTCTCAAAGTTGACTACGCGATGCACTTCGCCGGCCAGTGCGCTTGCTGCACCCTCATGTCCACTGAGTACCGCCTCCAGGCATGCGGTGGTGTCCGCTTCACATGCCCCCACAGCAACGGTGACACTCTCTTCCAGCTTATTGGTAAAGTTTGGCGATTCCTCGCCGAGAATGGCGTCCTGCATCTGGGGAAAGACCGCGCCCACCTCGTGTTTGATGGTCTCCTGGATGAGCACATCGGCCAGCGTTTTGAAATCGTGCTCGAACCGCTCGTTGGCCTCTCCTTCCGACTTTTCCTGGACGAGCAGCGCCAGCAGCTGTTCATTCACCCGGCATGTCCTGGCAATATTCGCCGCCTTTTCCGCACAGTTAATCAGCACCCGCAAGAGGTTTGCCTTGTCCTCCGAGCCCATGGTCCAGTCTGCTTGCCAATTAATTAATTTAATTTAATTAACTACATTTTTTGTATGGCTTCCATATGTATGGACTCGTGTTACAGTTCTGCTTGCTTCATATTTGTTCCTATTCCATACAATCAGCAGTTAATTCGTAATTGAAATTGAATTCCTCTTGCTGGGGCTGCTCTCTGTTAAAATTAGTGCACAATGCCTGCTATTGTTGCTATTTAGTTGGTCAGAGGTTGCACTTAAGGTTTTTCATTCGCGAAGAAGCTCTACAAAAAAACACATCACACATCTGCCTCTTTGGGAAACTTTGGAAAGCTTTGAAACAGCTGAGCTGAAAAAGCTTGTCCTTTTTTACCTACTTGCCATACCTTGCGGTCACATGCCAAAGAGAGGATTAGGTATATGTATATGTTTTTACACGGTAACTACAGCTACATCTACATTTTGTGGTTGACTAGTTTCGCCGTATTTTGCCATTGGCGTAGTGGTGCAAAACGCGTCTTTAAAAATACTGGAAAATGGTCAAAAATTCTAAGCAAAATATTAAAAAATGCAAGGTGTGTGAGCTAAACAAGGTTGTCTGAAATCAAATTCCTCAATTTTTATACTGGGTTGATTATTACAAGCTAGTTAGGAACGGTCAAGTCAATTACAAAAAATACTTTTTATGGCTTTTTCCGCGCACCTTTTGGTGGCTTCCTTTTAGTGCTGTGAAGCGGGAACAAAACGGAAACCCTGCAACACCACAAACACGGTCACACATAGAGATGAAACTCAGTGGGTAGATAAGATATCGATATATGGCGGTTATTTTTGTAATTTTCAAAAATGGACCAAGGTTCCCTAATCTATGAATGATTCAATTATTAATGTTAAATCACGTGCACCTTTAAAAACGAATTGAAGAGCTCCATTTATCAGGATGCCCCGATGCCTCTGCAGCTGAAGGGAAAGGGTTGGGCAGCAACTTTCACATCTTCATTGAAACAATTTTAATTGGCAATTAAAAATTACGCACTCACCGCCCCTTTGGGCCTTGCTCAGCAGCCCAGCCCAGCCCAGCCCAGTCCAGCCCAGTCCAGCCATGAATCATGCTCAGCCCAAGGAGCTGCCCGTTCCCTTCCCTTTGAGGGCTTTGTTTCAGCTGCGGCTGCTGCATAATTTGCACCCGATCTTATCAGCGAGCACTGCTAATGATTCGCATTAATGATGCTGCATACATGGCCCGCTTTTATGCTCTCCCCATTCCTGTGGCATCGCTGTACCGATCTCTGGGTTCTGTGTTCTGTGTTCTCTGCTCTTTTTGGGTCTTACGCACTTTGGCATCTTATGAAATGGGAGCATCCATCAGTGAGCTACCACTGACTGCCCCAGCACTTGGCTGCATTTGCATATAAATTGCTGCTAATGTCGCGCTATCAAAGTGACTGCATCAGTGCGGCATTCCTGCCATGCCTGGGCCAGTCCTGGAGGACCAGGCCCTCAGGCCCTGTACCGCTTGTGCTTGGCTTGGCTTATGCTAATTTGTTGCCAGGCCCTTGCCCTGGCCATTGATGTTTGGATAACGTTGACTTGATGACTTTGCATAATTTAGGCACAGAGAGCGCAGCAGAGACCTCAACTGCAGCTACATTTTGGCTGCTTTGGGTTAATTTTTCACTCAACCACGTTTGCCTTTTTAATGTGTTAATATTCGCGGGGAAAACAAGGCACAGCACAATGTTTTGCTGGTTTTCCTGCTCAGCCTCAGCCTCAGCCTCAGCCCCAGCCTCGACGTTTGACGTTTCAATTTGGCCCGTTGCGTGATCCTTAGCCGCACAATTTCTCAAACTTGCGGGCATTTATCAACAGCTCAGGCAAAGGCATTTGTCATCATGCCCACGGCCAGATCATCCCCGGCTCAGGCTCAATGCTGGTATGCAAAATTTGATTTGCTTGGTCCCTGGCTTGGTCTCCCTTTGTTGCTCATTAGCAAAACTCCAAAGCTCTCTCTCTCTCTGCCGCTGCCTTTTAACAGCCTTTTAATTAATCGCCCGAGTTGAACAAATTCTTAATGAGTCTTTAATTAATCGCCAAAACGAAACACACTCGACTCGACTGCCATTGAATTATTTAAATATTTTATTGTGACTTGGTTGCTGTCTCTGTCTCCCTGTCTCTCTGTCTCCCTGTCTGTGGCTCCACCCATGAGGCGTCTGAAACGAGTTTTGACGCTTCCCAAAAACTGTTTGCTTGATTATTTGACTGTTTTTTTGAATACAAAATGCCACAGCAAGCCCCCCACAAGTAACTGTCTCTATGCTGGCTGTGTTTCAGAGCTTCATTAAGAGTTTGTCCAGCTTTGTTCGCCCAATTTTCCAATTTTTTAAGCTGTCGTTGGGGATGAATGATGAACGCAGCTCGGCAGCCCAGAGCCCAGTGCAGTGGGGCGTATACTTATTGTGGGCCACTTGTCCCAGCGCCCACTCAGCCGCCAATTCTGTGCTCTCCAGCCATCTTCGATTTGTGTGCTGAGGCCTGCAGCAGAAACTGGATTGGGTCGTTGTGTTCATTTATGCGCTTCAAGGTGTTTGCCTTTTTACGCTTATTGGCAGCTCGCTCACCTCCCAGTTTATTCCCTTGAGCAACGGAAGGGGCACTGGTGTTGCTGCATATTTGCATTGCTAGTTAATTGTTTGCATTTCGGCGAGCAAGCGTAGGGTGTGGCTGGCACATGACCAATTATGGCAGCACCCAAGGCCAAATGCTGATCGATGGCAGAGTTCGTGCTCAGGCATTAATCTGTCCTCAAATGTTGCAGTGATGCACAGAAGCCAATAATCTGCCACCGATTGAACACCCACCATTCACACTCATCAATTTCAATGCAAAAGCCAAATTCTGCTCTGCTGTAAGCTATCCTGGCTGTGTCCCTGTCCCATTGTGGTCGTGTTTGAGCCAAGCGGAAGCGCAAGGAACATGCAGGCAGTCGGCAGTCGGCAGTCGGCAGTCGGCAGTCGTCCATAATGCAGCTACAAATACAAATCCGTGGCCCTGTTGGTTATAAATTGTATGCATTTTGCGCATAGTTTGCCATTTTGCCACTTTAACATTATTGTTATGATGATAAGCGAGCCACAGCGAGCGAGGGTCCAGGTCCAGGCCATGCTGGGTCTGCAGCTACAGCCCAGGGATGTTGCACCATCCTGCCTGCGCCTTCGCCTTTGTCCGGCTGTTTGCTGTTTGCTGATCTTCAATGCGATCTCTGCAGCTTGTTTGGCTTTCCTCTGTATTTAAAATCATTTCATTTTCTGGGGGCCAGAGTGTGAATATAATTTAAGGTGCCTCTGCCTGTGTCTGCTGTGTGTCCCTGCCGCAGAGAGATTATTTACGATGCTTGATTGGTTTTCAAGTGATCATAAAGTAAGCGATCGTCGTGTACTCTCAGCCAATTGCGGCGCTGTCCGTTGGCATTGAGTCGGCCCCGCACTGGCGTTAATATGTAGATTTCGGAGGCGTAGATTTATGTCCAGTGGGAGTGGGAGTAGAAGATGAAGTTAAATGTGGGAGTAGGAGCACCAGGAGGCTGCCCTTTGCCTGGACCCTGCTGGCGTAGATAGCTTCATCTGGGGCTGTGCACTCTGTGGCTAGATCCTGCTCGAACTCCCACAAGTGGCCTTCAACATTTGAGCATTTAATTGACATTGATGCTTGCCCCACTGGACAAGTCTGAGAACGCGCCTCGCGTCTGGCATGCTCTCCGGCATACCAAGTGCAGTGCAGCGAATTATTAATTTTCATATGGGAGTCGGGAGCGGAGGAGCTGCTGTCAGCTGGACATGAGGAAGACGTACAAAATAAATTCTGTGCAGACAGTCAGCAGACAATGCGCATCGAATGGGTGTGTGGGTTGGGGTTTCTGTTTCTTGGATTATTTTGGGATTGCGTTTCTGGCGCTCATCATTCAGAGTGTGGGGTCTATTGGGGGCCTATACAAATGTTGCTGGTGATTGAAATCAACGCCAACTCCCCCTGCCAGCCGAGAGCTTTGTCTGTTCTTTGGGCTTTCTTGGGGCTGTTGTCGTCGGGCTGTGTTTTGTTTTCGCTGCTTTAAATGAACGTTATTAAGGAGATGTTTATCGCTGAGTGATTTATTCATTAAAACAACATTTATTAGCCAGCCAAGCCAGCCATGGTGTGGTGTGTTCATGCGTGTGTGTGCGTGCACATTCACATTCACATTCATATTCACATTCACATTCGTTTGCTGGCCCGCTTTTGGACGTCGCCTCATTTGTGCGGCATTAAAATGCGAAAGCGTGTTTGTTCCTGGAAAACTGCACACCGCACACCGCACCCCAGCCAATCACCCTCCACTCTCCACTCTCCACTCTCCACACACTTCTTATCAGAATTGCGGGTGTGGTGGACTCTGCCAGGTGAGACATGACATGGCATGGCATGGCATGGCGTGGCGTGGCATGCGGCTTTGTTTTATGAACTTGCACATTTCCACCGTTTTAATCACTTAATTAGAGAGTCTCTTAATTGACTTGGACTTGGGGCAAGGTGCAGCACAGTTCGTGGCTTAAGTCTTTTGTTCCCCGAAGAAGTTGCGGCAGGACACAGCCAGCCGTGGAAAGCTTTAGCTTTTCCAGCTATTTGTGGGTTATCATTGCCCTCCCAGGCGGCTGCTGGACCTGTTCTTGGCTCAACCCATTCATTAGTCCCATTCCTGCGCCAAACCTGTCGCTGAGCCTCAGCTGGATTTGATGGTCGATTTTCTGCAATTTGATTGCATGCCCCACAGCCAGGACACACCCCTTGACTGTGTCCGTTTCCCATGTGCAGACATTTCAATTAGCATTTTGGCTAAGCATCACGTAAATATCAATCAAATCAGGCACAACTCGGGACTGGGACTGGCGTAGTCGTAACATAAATACTTGTTAGTCGCCATGACAGTCGCTTCCAGCTGTAAGTGCTCGTCGTTTGTTAGCCAAACCAAGCACTAATCCACCTCATGGCCTCAACCTGAACCTCAACCATGGTTATGCATCATCAAACTGCTCTGTGGGCACGGGAGAGCTGCCTTCTGGTGGTGTCATAAGGAAGCGTCTAAATGATTCATAATTTATGCCTCTCGTCCATTCCCACTCCCAAATGCATTCAATCGTTTCGTTACTTCATTTCTCCAGCTTAACGCATTGGCTTGTGCCTTCTCCACTCACTGCCTGCCCGTGCCTCTCCTGCTCCTTCTTATTGTAATGCATTTTGGGCTGGCAAAGTGCGTGCCTGTGCCTGTGCCTGTGCCTGTCGTTTGTCTGCTGCGTTGATAGTTGAAAAAATTACTTACAAATTACATGCGTAGCTTATGCCCCCGTGCCGCTGTGGCTGTGACTGTGGCAGGGACTGCGGCTGTGTCAGGTATTAGTGCTGTGTCTCGTGGCTGGCTCGCAGCGATCACCAGCCCCAAGCAGAGAGTAGCTTTGGGTTGTAAATATCCAACACCTTGCTGCTGCAAGTGTTTCCTGGCACTGTTCGTCTCTGTTTAATTTCCCATCATTATGCCAAGTGCCAAGAGCCAAGAGCTCATTAGCATATAAAATATGGTTGTAATTACGCCTGGTAAATAATGCAATTTTGCAAATTTTATAGGCCATGTTTGTGCTAAATTAAAATTATTATAATTGAGTTAAGGTGGGCAAGGAAAGGGCTCGCAGTGGCGCAGGACAGGGCTCGCTGGCTTAGTGGAATTTCGCATGGTTTTAAAATGCAACGCGGAACATGGCCATAAAGTGTAGCTGCGTTTAGCTTAAACAAGTCGACAATTTAAAAAGCCAATTTGCGCATAATACGTAGAACGTGAGCGAAAATTTAAAAGCAAACAGGCAAACAGGCAAAGGAAGGGGAAGGTTGCGTGTTGCGCTCGTCTGTGTGTGTGTCCGAGCAAATTTCCACGCCAATGACCATTAATGCAAATGTTGTTTGCTCATTACGAAATCATTGACCGACCGCCCGCCCACATATACTCACTCAGTCATGCTACTGGCCATACGACGACCCAGTTCGGTTTGCAATTCGAATTCAAATTTCAAATTCATCCTAATCGATAGCAACAGCCCACATGCAACCTTGCAAGCATTTCACACAATCACTATTGACGATCTGGCAGCTCTGGCAGCTAGCAACCTCATTTTTGGAGTCTTTCGTCCACTTGCTGGCGAAATAAAAGCGAACGACCTTACTTGTAGAACCTTTCGTCCAAAAAGAGCACAACCTCATTTTTGGAATCTTTCATCCACGTGCTATCAAAATAAAGAGTACACCTTATTTTTTGACTATTTCGTGCATTTGCTGGCGAAAAAAAGCGAACAACTCATTTTTGGAATCTTTCGTCCACTTGCTGGCGTAAATTAAGCAAAGAAACCTCAGTTTTGGAATCTTTCGTTGACTTTCTGCCGTAAATTAAGTGAACAACCTCATTTTTTGAATCTTTCATCCACGTGCTATCAAAATATAGAGTACACCTTATTTTTTGACTATTTCGTGCATTTGCTGGCGAAAAAAAGCGAACAACTCATTTTTGTAATCTTTCGTCGACTTGCTGGCGGAAATTAAGCAAACAACCTTATTTTTGGAATCTTTCGTTCACTTTCCGGCGTAAATTAAGCTGACAACCTCATTTTTGGAATCTTTCGTCCACAACGCGTGCGCCGACATTTGTTTGTGTTTTCATTGAAAAGTAACAAAATGGGAAACCGAAGGCAATTGAATACATCTACGTTCAACGATGGAGACTTCGTCTTCGCTAAAATGCGAGGATTTCGCGCATGGCCCGGTCGCATTGTAAACCGTATTGGCACTGAATACAACGTGTACTTCTATGGCACGTGGGATCATGCAAAGGTGTCAGAGAATCAAATTTTTGACTTTGCAACACACTCGAGGCGGTACGGAAGAGTGAATAATGATCGTGACTCCAAGGCCGTCCGTTCGTTCAAAGCTGCCATGCTGGAGATTCAGCTTGCCATGTCTGAGCCCGATATGGATATTAGTTACTTCAATACTGTGGGTCAGCTATCGGAGGAGGGTGTAAACCCAGAGGATGCTGACACTGAATCCAGCGTCCTGGACTCCGACTCGGATTCGGACAATGGACAACTTCCATCCGAGCTTCACATAGTCGGTGACAGCGACGCCGACTACGAGCCGGAGACGGAGACGGACGCGAAAGAGAACAACTCTCCAAATTCAAACTAACCTCAAATTTTGTTTTCTTTTTCTTTTTGTGTATCTGCTGTCGCAATCAACATTAATTTCAAAAACTCTAAATATGTTCGATTATCAAAGAGGCAAGCCTTAAATAAAAAGAAATTCATGTGAGTGTCTTCTCGTGCTGATTAAGGAGGCGCGGGCGTGTCTCTGGCCATAATGGCCGCTGCGTGATCTTCTCCCTGCTGACCCACACACATATGTGCATATGCCAACCCCCCCGGTCGCTAATCGAAGCCCACTTTGGGGGCACGTTTTCGCATTAAATGCTGCACCATCAGCATGGCCAAGCCAACCCCTGGACCTAGCCTCCCCAGGGGCGTGTGCTTGCAGCCTGCGCCCGCAGGATAGTTTAGCTAAATGCCATCGTAAAAGAGCGTCGGCCAGCCAGCAAGGAGCGGCGCACATGCACATTCCCACCCTACTTTCGGTGATGGCCTCTGGTTTAATTGGACAACGGGAACAGCAGCAGACGGGACACCGCTTCGATTAACAAATTATCGCCACCGCAGTAAAGGAATCGTTGCAGGTTCCGCATCCGTAAGGCATTCTCCAGGTACTCACTCGTATTTAGGTTAACAAGAGGGCTGCTGCATCACTGGGGATGCTCCCGGTCATGGGGATCCTGCCTGCGATGACCGCAAATCAGATTCAGTGCGCCGGCAATGAGATTTCCCCACCGCATCAATTTGTTTTAATGCCAAAAATGCTTTTGCATTACTCCAACAGATTGCGGCAGCTGCCGGAATCGAAGGAGGAGGAGTTTGCAGATCTGCGAGATCTCTTGGTGGCTCCAGCATCCTTCACCCGACAGCTGTCGTTGTCCTGTGTTCCTCTGCGGTCAGCCGGTGCCAGATTGTTAAGGAGTTTAGTCAGATAGTCAGATGCATATGCATGCTGGCTGTGGACGGGTGTGGAATCCATCTGATTCCTGGTTACCCCAACCCACCCCTGGACCCCCCCTGTCCATTGCAGTAAAATGTCAAATTAATGTTACAACATGTCCAACAACTTTTGACGGCATTTGACAATGTTGAGTGGAAATTCCTGCAGGTGACGCAATTTCCCTGTAATTTGTTTGGCCGCACGTACGTGGCATGGGCATGGGGCATGGACATGGGGCATGGACTTCGACTTCAACTCCAACTCCAACTCCAACTTCGATTCCATGCAGCAGTGTCAGCGCGATTGTGCCTGCCCAGCATTAACAAAAAAAAAAACAAAACGAAACAAAACAAAACCACTACGAATTGCGCCAAGGGACCTGCCAACTGTTTCGACTTCTAGCTGATTGTGTGTGTGCTGGGGCTGGCCTGGCTGCCGTGTGGTTGGCTGGGGACTGGCCCCGTTCGGTGTGGCAAGGTGTCAATGTGTGGGCATGTCGCACACGTGTGCTGCTTGCCTCTTGCCCTAGGGCCATAAATTTACTTAGTTTATTTGCTGCTACGCTGCCACTGCTCCTGCCACAGAGCAGACAATGCGGGGACGCGAGGCCCAGTTCAACGGAAATTTGTGAAGGAAATCAAATTAAAATTTTGCTAATTTATCAGTCGCTCCAAAATCGTGAGCCCCAGGTCCGTTGTCCAGTGTCCAGAGGGGAAGGGATTGGGGCAGAGTTTGGTGCGAAATTGTTGCATTTTATCGAAACGACTTCATCGGGGTGTCTGCGTCCCGCTTCGAGGCCCGAAACAAAGGCATTCTAATTAAAATTCCCAAGTGTCAAAAATATTATTTATATCTTTGCCAGAAGTAAGTGCATCAATCAAATGTTTGTGCACAACCAGCAATTAATTGGTTGGTCATCCGCAGGGTAGGATTGCCGGAGCAGAGGCTCTGGAAGGCTCTGTTAAAATCAAATTGCCGCATCGTTAACACCCCAGGGAAAGTCGATTGGATTTAGGAATTGGCAGGGCATAGGAATTGGGTTTGGCCGGGTTAATCGATGACTGATTGTCCAAATGGAAAGTTACACCAGGCAGCAAGCCACACAGGGAACACAGCGAAGAGATGTGCCAGAACTTGGCTTCACTTCGGAGGTGGAACAACACTCTCCCTTGCCTTTGTTGCCTAGGGTATGCTCTCTATTAAAACGATTATGATAGGCCCAATCCACCCCTGTATTCGGTAGCCCTTCGAGGGAGCACATGTTATTATTTGTTTTTGATGAAGTGGTTGATTACAATCGACCCTCCCCAGCCATTTACAGCCACCCCTTGTCGTTGGAAGTTCGAACCCCCCGCCAGGGACGATGCCCAAAGTGGAAGAGCCATCAATATTTTATGTTTATGGCCATGCGCTCTTGTGGGTCAGCAGGTGAAAATCTAGCTGGTCTCTCCTCGAATGTATGCATAATTGGCTGATGTCGAACACGACAAATGCACGCTCCAAGTATGCCGAAGAAGACATCATCGAATCAAATTGAATATGCAAAGCATCAACGCGCAGTGATTTTTATTTGCCACAGTGGGTGGGCATTCTCAATGGGAACACACCGCAGCACTAATGGAAACTTGCGTAGCTATTTAATTGATTTGTGCCAAATGTTTTATGGATTTTTAAAGCCAGGCCCGACGAACACAGGGCTGAATAAATGGAATCGTTTGTTCGGCAGCCAGCCAGCCGGGCAGGCCCACTTCCAACAGCCATCGGAGTGAGTCGGAGACCCCCGGCTGATGAGCGGGCCTAATTATGGAACAACCGAAATGGCAAATTAGCATAAAATTTAGCAGCATTAAAAATTATACTTTATTATGCTCCAATCCCGCGTGTGTGTGCTCCTTTTTATTGTTGCTCTGTGACTAAATTGATTAATGAGCCAATTTAATAGTTTCGTCTGCTTATGGAGGTTTTTTTATGACACTTCAAAAATTATGACGAGCATTTCCAGCCCGTTGGGCGGGCACATGTTGCACAATTTGTATTTAGCCTTCCTTCCCATTTTGGGCCCACAGTGAAAGTGCTTGTACCGCTCGATAGCTCTTAAAATTTGGCCATAAACCCCGTTTTTAGGGCTGGGCGGATTAGACGCTGGACGGGTTATGGTCCGGCGTTGAGGTGTTGGCGGCACAGTTCTTTCACGAACTTTGCTATTGGGCGATTGTGTGGGTGGACCTTTATTTATTTTTTGGCACTTTTAATGCGTCCATTAAAGGTAGCTCTTGATTTATCTGCTTGAGATGCTAATGGGATGGATAACATATGGTTTTTATTGATGAGTTAGGGCGTAGCAAGAGCTTGGGGATATGGACAATTGTTAGATCACATTTGTTTTCCTTGCTTTGGCTTTTTTAAGCGCCGATTTAAGCAAACAGCAAAAAAATACGAGGCATATGTTCATCATCAGCTGATTAAGAGACAGTGTGACCATTCAAAACAAATCGGTCCAGGGCTGCATAATGCATGCAGTCACATGGAAGGCTTTTTGCTGCCGTCAAATTGCAATTGCAATACATTCTATATTTGTACAAATCTACTAAGGATACAAAGGGAAAACTTTGTCAGATTGGAACTTACATGCGATTGAAAGTCTCTTTCTAGTTGTGTATTGTCAGCATGTCGGGGGATCAGGGCGATGCGCCCACTTGCAAAATGGAGAAACTCCAGCTAACTGATGACTTGGAGGAGAGCGAGTTCTTTCGGACCTACTCCCGCCTGGAGACGCACTTGGATCTGCTGAAGGACTCGGCGCGCACCATGGCCTATAAGGATGCCATACAACAGAATCGAGAGCTCTTCGAGGGCAAAGTCGTGCTGGATGTGGGCTGCGGCATGGGAATTCTGTCGATCTTTGCGGCCAAGGCCGGGGCTAGCAAGGTGATTGGCGTGGAGAACGCGGACATTGCAGCACTGGCCATGCAGATAGTGAAGGAGAATGGAAAGGAGAACGTGGTGAACGTCGTCAAGGGACTGATTGAGGAGGTGGAGCTGCCCGATGGCATTCAGCAGGTGGACATAATTGTCTCCGACTGGATGGGGTGAGTAACCCAAGCCAGGAAGCACTCTCCCCACTCAATTCTCTCATCATTAGGTCCTCCTTGTACGTGGAGGGCATGCTGCATTCGGTGCTGTTCGCCCGTGACAAGTGGCTGCGCCCTGGAGGCCTGGTGCTGCCCAATGTGGGCAATCTGTGGATTGCTGGTGCCTGTGATCCGCATCGGTCTCTCAACAATGGCTTCTGGAACAACGTCGAGGGCTTCGACATGAGCAGCGTCAAGTATGCGGTGGCCCATGAGGCTGTCGTGGACTGCGTGGCCTCCCAGAATGTGCTCACGAACTCGTTTCTCGTGCACTCGACTCTATTGGAGCGGGCCCCAAATGAACCGATCAAGTTTCGCACGGTCTTTGCGCTGGAGGTCCTGCGCACCGGAATAATCCACTCGATGATTCTGTACTTTGACGTGGGATTCTTTGTGGGCCAGACAGAGAAGCCAGTGACTCTCTCCACCTCGCCCCAGTCGCCCTGGACACACTGGGAGCAGACCGTCCTGCATTTGGACAAGCCCGTCTATGTACAGGCCAACGAACGGATCACCGGCGGAATCGGGATGTTTCCCAGCGCACACAACAGTCGCTGCATGAACTTCGAGCTGCGCGTTCGCTCGAAGGAAGCTCAGGGCCTGGTTTCGCATTTCAAGTACTTTACCTCTTCGCAGAAGCTGTAGCTCCTCGCAGAAGCTGTAGCTGGTGGGCATCGCAACAGGCGGTGACTCAAATGCCATCAACAGATATTTGCCTTATTCGCGTCGATCATTAAATGCGCTGAACAGAAATGATAACTGCCATAAAATGGGTCGTTAAACGCGGTTCGAGAAGTGCCCCGGGCACGGCAATCAATCGCTTCGACGCTTAGAAAGTGGACAACCGAAATGTTAACGACTTTCCTAACAAATTAATTTCAAAGCCAGAGTAGCAGAGCTTAGATCCAGCTCGGGCCAGAGGAGAAGCGCGTTCGGGAATGTGAAAATGCCTGCGACTGCTCTTCTCCCCTAATTAATTGATGGGACGTCGTATAAATTTGTGAAAGCCAACGCCGTGAGCCCCACAATGAACGCCTTTTATGCGTTTATAACTCTATTTACTATTTTAGCCATTTACATTGTTGTCTCCCGTCTCGGTCTCCGTCTCCGTCTCCGTCTGCGGCACACACACAAATTCTGTGTCGATTTCGTGTAGGGGTCGAGAGGCTACAGAAAATCTCTTGTCAGCTCGTTTTGTGTTTGTGCATGGCTGGTCTTTGTTAATGGCAGTTCTTAAAAAGCCATAAAACTGCTTTATACGTTCATGAAATTAATATGCACACCATTATTGGACATGATTATAAAATATTGGTTATCTAGCGCACACAAAAGCGCCACAAATGAGGCAACGTCCAACGAGCGATCTTTGATTTCGGGCCAAGCACTTGTTCCAGCCATCCAGCTCCCTGCGGCGCACATTAACAAAATTCTAAACAACAGCCGCAGCCAGAACGCAGGCAGCGTAGGCCCAACAAACATCTCAATTTGTATTGCTTCCCGCTTCACCCCCATCCGCGCTTACTTGTTCTCCTGCATCTTGTTGTCTGGGTATCGAATTGCTGGCATTTGTCAACGGAGCGGGACACTGCGCAACGAGCCATCTATAAATTAGAGACTCGTTAGACAGCTTAACCCCGAAGCCCATGGGGCTAGTCCTGCCAGAGCCTGCTTGTTGATAAGGTCCCACACTTTTCTCATGACAAATTAAGTTATTGCCCCACTCGCAAGGCGATAAGCAGTGGCCATGATGTGGGGGCAGGACAGGACAGGGCATGCCATGTTTTCTATCATTTTCCAGCTCATATTTCAGACTGAAATATTTCCATCAATGAAGCATTGACTCAAACGTCAGATAATCTCTACTCTCTATTCGTCAGTCAACGTGTAACAACTTACATAAACTTACTCCAATTTGTGAACAAAACAAATATATTTTTTCAAGCACACATCTTCAAGGGGTTCAAGATGAAGTACAACGTTCAGCCGGTCGTGGATTTTGACCTTTTGGAGCTGGCCGAGATTGAAATGGGCATTGCACATTTTCCGATGGAGATCGACGACGAGGTTTTTATTTTAAATGAGGAACTTTTGGATGAGGAGGCTTATTCTGATGTGCACTCAGAGGACAATAATGGCCGCGGAATGGAGGAGCAGTCGGATGATATAGCGGACATGGTGATGGATGAAAAGACTTCAGACGCTTTCGGCAAGTTTATTAAGAGCAACTTGGAGCTATTCAAAGACAAGGTAAGTTGTTGTTAAGTTCTTGGACATATTTCAATGACCAATCGTTACACTCGCTAGATTATCCTGGACGTTGGCTGCTGCTGTGGTGTCCTCAGCCAGCACTGCATCCTGGCTGGGGCTGCGATGGTCATTGCCACGGGCAATCAAAATGCTGCCGGATATGTATTGGCACTGGCCCGCGACCATGGAGTCGAAGATGTGTTTTTTCCAGTCAAAGGCGACATTTCCGAGATCGAGTTGCCTTTGCAGGTGCAACATGTGGACGTCATAGTCTCGGAGTGGACAGGGTTCGTGCAGCGTTGGACTAATCAATCGTTTAAATCACTGATTTTTGGTTCTTTACAGCGGCTCGGAATTTGTGGGCTCGCGGCTCCAGGATGTTATCTATGCCCGCGACAAGTGGCTCGTAAAGGGCGGCCTAATATTTCCGAATGTCGGACAGCTGTTCATTACTGGTCTTTATGACAATCCCATTACTTGCACGGAAGATTATCAGGCAGCAGAAGTAGAAGACAGTGAGGACCATTCCACACCGTCGTCTGATTCCGATTCAGAGGAGGCAAACGTTGGGCAGAGCCCACAGATCAGGGAATACTATGTGGGCCCGGTGGATGTGGTCACCCAAAAGTACCTCCTGAAGACAGTCGATCTCCAGACGCTCCCGTCTGCTGAGGCATGTATCTCAAGTGAATTCAAATTGCGAATGCTGGATGAAGGCCCATTCGTGGCTCTTTCGCTGCACTCGGACATCTGCGTGTCGCTGCCCAACCGGAAGCTAAAGCGACTGTTCTCCACCGGGCCCACACACCCCGAGACCTATCTGCTTCAGACGGTTCTGGTGCTGCAAAGCGCTCATTTTGTTACCAGGGAGACTCAACTGAAAGGTATTTTGAGCCTTCGCCGCATTCCAGATGACGGCATAGAGTACTCCCTGCGCTTACGGGCGGTTAAATTGGAAACAGATTTGCAGGCCACGATAGATAAACTGTCATGGCAAGACGATTTGTACTTGGAAATCCTTGAATCCTTGCCATTATTGTTCAGCGAAAAGCGCATGATAGATTCACTCTTAGATGAGACTGATTTGAATGTAGGAATTGAATCCTTGGCACTATTGTTCAGCGAACAAAATTCAGAAGTAAATGTGGACCAAGACACCGACTCTGTGGCAGAGGCAGGGTCATACGTTTGTTAGATACACAGTTTTGTTTAACAAATAAAAGGGATACGTTGCGGCACTGTTCATGCTGATGCTGGTTGATGTATTCATGGCAACGTTTTGGGGGCAGTTCGTCTGAAAGGCCAACACGTCGATTGTTGTTGTTGAGGGGCTGAGGGGAGTCCATCGACATGGACTGTGGGGACTGAGCGATCGTTGGACGATCAAAATTTATGGCCGTGCTGCATCAATTAGGGCGGCGGCGATCCGACGACTGCTAACCGTTGCTACTCAAAGACAATGGGCCCAAGTGTGGATCTCTTTTTGTTCGACTTTTGCTGCTTCTGCTGCTGCTGCTGCTGCTGATCGGTGTTTAGCTTTGACGTTGCTACATCGATTTAAAATGATGTCGCGCATAATTCACCGATCGAGGAAAGAGGAACGAGGATCGAGGATCGACGACCACGCTCTGCCAGACTGTGCGTCGTGATTTGGCTCTGGGGTCGGTCGATCGGTCTGCCCTCGTTTACAGTAAGAGTTCTTTTGTTCTGATCTCATAACTGATCGCTGATCGCACTCGGTTAGCTATAAGGAGCACTGGCCTCGGCCCTCGGCCCTCGGCTAATGTCAGTCGCTTTTCCTTTATATCTTCCCCCCTTCATCTTCTCTTCTCTCGATCACATGCTTAAGTGACATTTCGTCTGCTGAAGCTGTAGATGGATGTGGATCTGGATGTGGATGTGGATATGGGTCTGCTTTTGCGTCTGCATCGAATGCCGAGCCCAAGTCTGGGTCCGTGATGGATTAGCATCGTTTTGCCGTGAGGATAATGTGTCGTCTGCAATGATTTTCGTTGACATGTGTTTCTCTTTTTGTGTTTCGGCTTTCATTTCGGGGTCCAGTTTCTTGGAAATAATTATGCTACTTTTGTGCAGAAATAACAGCATTTTTGTACAAATTGCATAAAAATTTAAATTGCCCCAGCAGCAAAGATGAGCGAATTTTCGGTTTTTTTGTGTGTTTCTGTTTCCGCGGATTGCAGGACGACGCAGAAAATTGCTTAATAATGAAATGCCAATGGATTAAGCGCAATTTGTGCGGCATTCGGACGGTCGACCCTCTGATTGTCCCCCTGGAACTTTATCTTTATCTTTATCGTGTTTTTTTTTTACCAACCACAATCATCATCATCATTATAATCATCATTATCACGGAGGAGAACGACGTTCAACACGTTCGATTTTTCTGCAGTTTATTTTACACCTAACGAGGCCGTGAGGCCTGTCTCTCTCTTTCTCTCTGGTCGTCCCTTTCACACGTCAGGGCCTCGAAGCGTTTTCATTAAATTCGCTTAATAGCGCAATATAATTTAAACAAGTAGTAACATAAAATAAAACTCACAGCCACGCACTGAAAGGCATAAAGAAGAAGCAAATTACTCCAGAGAACCAAACACAGAAGAGAACAGAACCGAACCGAACCGCAGACATCGACAACGCATTCGAAATTCGAATATGAACAAACACTCCTGGCATGCAGCAGCATGGTGTGGCATGGAGGGAGATAAGGCAGAAGGAGGTCCTACTCAGTGGTCCCTCAGTTCCAGTTCCAGTTACCGATGCCGAGTCCCAGTTATGGCGCATGGGCGAGACCGCTCCACTGCCCAGTGCAATAAGTTCGCTTAACGAGGGTTTAATTTATGATTTGTTATGTTTCCGGTTCATGTTCTTGTTGCCAGCAAAATTATTGGCCATAAAGCTAAGGTGTGGATTATAGTTGCTGGCAGTAGTAGCAGCCAGCCAGTCAGCCAGTCAGGCCAAGTCAATGAGAAAGAGAAGGGAGAGAAGGCTGATGAGGTCACCCTTGGGTAGGGCATATGCTGTGCTCGGGGTCACCATTTTAAGAGTTCATCAATTGCATCTTTATCCTTTTCCCCAACTGGATCCTGCACTTGTTTCCTCCACTCATTTGCCTCTGTGCTCGCCAACTCCTTTGGACAGTTTTGTCTGTGGCCCACTAATAGTCCTTAATCCTTTCACGCTCACTGTGCATTTTGCAGGCGCTGCATCGTTGCGTTGAAAATCGATTTGTATTTTTATTTCCTACCATTTTTTGTTCGTGGCTGTTGCGTTGGGCTGCGCCTGCGCAACCAACTCGTCCCATGGATAACAACGGATAAGGGAATAAGCAAAGACAAGCCAAGACACCAGCCAGGAGGTGGACTAGCCCCGCGAAACGTGAACAGGAGGGGAGCGGACTGGAAGGTCCAAGCAACGCCAACGAGTATCTGGTGGAACATAAATTACGCGACTAACAAGCAGCGCCCCGTGCAGCTACAAAAAATACGAAAAAAAAAAACATCTTGCGGAGGGGTCGAGGAACACTTCATACTTGGGAACAAACCTGGGGGACTAACGTATTGGGCCAGAGTCAGAGTCAGAGTCAGAGTCAGGCAATGGGCATGGGTCTTACCAAAGTGAGTTGCACAAAATTATAAATGAAAGCGGGTGTTGGACACTGTTCGTTCTCTCGCAGCATCATCCACATCCACATCCCATTCCATTGCAAATCCCATTCTCAAACCTCCAGCCATATCCAGGTACCACATCCACGTCCACGATTAGGTGCTGCAATTTGGCTGGGGCTGTCTGTGATTGAGACCGAGGCAGTGCTCGAAACGAAGTTAAAAATCAAATTAGCGAATGTGTTGAAAATTAAAAACAAATTCACGGATAAATTGCATCTGCCAGATACGCAATTATTATGAGGGCAGGCCCAGGGTTGGGCCAAGGAGAGAGAGAGAGAGAGAGCGAGAGGGGACCGCGTGCAGAGGATAAGACGTGGCTAACTTATGGACTGAGAGACAGCCAGACCCACTGCTCTGGACATGGCTTGGTTCTGGATTCTGGATTCTGGATGCTCGACTCTGGTACGGTGGCTGTGTGCGCGGAGTATCTTGTGTATGTGTGTGCCTGTACCTGTACCTGTATCTGCAGCTGTATTTGTGTGTGCCCTCGAGGTGTTGCAATTTGACGTTTTTTACGCGAGTTTTTATTCCATGAAATCCGCATGAATTTCATGAGGCTGCAGCAGCCTCAGACGCAGCTTCAGCATCGCACGCAGTGCAAATACTTGGCCCTAAATGGCTCTCTCTCTCTCACTCTCTCACTCTCTTGACTCTTTTTTCGTTGTTGTTGTCTGTGTTGGCCACGGCGAAAAACACGTCGAATTAACACGCTCTAAGGGGCAGCTGGATGAGTGCTTGTGGTTGAGATGTGGCAATGGGGTATGTGGCATGGACACTGTAGACTGTGGACTGTGCCTCATCAGCCAGGCTTTTTTGTACATTTAAATGTTGGCAAATTAGCTGAAATTTCTTCTCGCAATTTGCATGTGTGTGTGTGTGTGTGTGTGATATATAATTATACTCGTAGTAGTCGCATTTTTTTTGGCGAGGGTAGGCTCCTGGCAGCCCAAAAAGCCGCTCAGCTGGCGCCGTGTCTGCGGCGATTCTCTGGCAAATAAATCGCGCTGCTGTTGAACTTTTTATCTCTGCCTGCAGGGAGACGACCACGACGACGATGAGAGCCTGGACAGAAAAAGGACAGGGACAGGGACAGGGACAGGGCTGGCAATGGCACTGCTGCTGCTGCTGCTGCCACGGAGCTGCCAGAGATGGAAGTCGGCCACGCCCCTTGTTGTCCTGTGTGTGTGCTCTGGGAGCTCTGGGGCCTTGGCAACTCGCAACTTGGAGTCGAGTTCGGTGCCGTAAAAAAAGGGCGCAAATTTTATGAGCGCATCGTTTAACAAATGAATTTACAACCGTGCAACGCCCAAATGTCTGGCGTTCAAATTCAAATTCCTTGCAACGAAACGAAACGAAATCTTGGCCCAGCTCCCAGAACCACAACCGCAACCAGAACCACAACGAGTGTCCGAGTCAGAACCTGAGCGGAGGATAACTTACGTGGCACACGGAGGCGTATGCTGCATATATGCACACCCAGGCAAACAAAACACAAAACCCAAAACCCAAAACCTATAGAGGAGCATGAATTATGTCTGGCATTTGGCCAAGTGATTTAAAACAAATACGCGAGGCAGGGACACAACCAGGCCGAGACGGAGCGTCATCATCATCATCATCATCATCAGGAGTATCATTGGTGTAGCATTACGAAATCTTGGAAATGGCAATGGCAATGGGAATGGCATTGGGACTGGGACTGGGACAGGGAATGGTGATCGTCGTCTGGCTGGCTGGCCAAGAGTTATATTAACGCTTTCATTAGCCCAGTTTTCGCCTCGCTGGCCGCCCTTTTATCAAGTGCCTCCACTTTGTCGCTCATAAATCGAGATCATTGGCAATTGCCAGAGCGCGTTGCTCCACTCGTTAAGTGCAGTTTAATGAGCTCTCTGGGCTCTCCAGTTGCACCTTGTTGTCCTCCACGGCGTGCCTGCCGAGGGGCCTGGTCAGCGTTTACAATTTGGTAATTGTCTCTGGCCTGTCAATAAGTTTTTATGGCCAACCAACCCATAAAGGGAAAGCTTCGAGTCTCTGCTGCAGTATCAGTTTCGGTTCGAGTCTCTCAGTTTAAAATTTAAGTTTCAGTTTTTGGCTACTCGTCAATTACCGACACGATCACAAACTGCCCGAAGAGACGAAGCTGGTAATTTGTGAACTTAATGTCGGGGATGCAAATACCAAAGGGAAGCATTCGATCGATCGAACGAGCGACTGATCGATCATGTCAAGGATATGCACACTTCCTGCGGTCCGCAAAACAATTTTTCGACAAACTTCTTAGATGACGACACGACACGACACGACACGACACGACTACACCTCAAAACCCATCATGGAATTTCACACTTGGGCCTAAACCATATGTAAATAGCCCAGAGCGGTCAGGTCAGGCCAGAGAATGGCGATCCTCGGCATTGTCCTCGAGTCCCGACTGTGGCTCAGCTGCCGCACAAAGAGCGCTCCTGTCCGGTCCTTCTGTGCTGGCGAGTGGCACTTCAGGCCGCTCATTGTTTGCCTAATAAATGACTGGCCATTGTCGGGGGGTATAAATGTCAAA